TTGCTTGGCTGCCTCAATCGCACAGGAGAAATACAAAGCACCTTTAAGACCAACAAAGTTTTATCCAAGGTATGAGCTTTTGTGTGCCTTGCTACAGTGTGTGTGTTTTGTTGAGCTTGTTATGCTGTGTCTCTCCTGGGTGCAACTGGGTTTCCTCCCCCTTTTTGCTGTATTCATGCCCTCATGATCCAATCTTTCTCAGTTGGAAAGCCATGTGAACTATTTAGATGAGAAATAACAACAAGCCAGTGAGGTGGATTAGGTAGGCTGAGAGTGTGTGCCCAGAGACCAAGTGCCCAGAGACCCAGCACATTTCCTTTGGGGATTTTGAACTTAGACTTCCCAGACAGTACACTGATGCTGACCACTGAGGAAAACTATAGTTTTGTAGACAAACACATAGCCCTCAGTGTGTGTTATGCCACCTCTTATGTTCTTGACCAGCACACAAAGCAATTTATGTACAAAAGTTCATAATGCCCAGCCATTTCATGTTTTCCCCTGGGTTCTAGGCTCAGAATTCCGAGCATGAGATTTCTGTAGTGAATGTCAATAAATCAAAAGTAGGTTTGCAGCTTACAGATACCATCTTGAACAGCATACTCAAGATTGCAACAGCAGAGACATTTTGATGCAGTAATTCAGAGCAAGAGGTATCAGTTATCAAACACTATTAAATAAACAAAATATTGCAAAAGTGCTAATGTTTTAACCATATTTTTATTTTAAGTTAAAAAAAATCTTTGTGTTTGTGTCCTTTATAAAGTTTATATCTTCGCTACCTGGCATTACATTTTATGACACGGCCTGGCCCAACAAGGTCTCATTTATGTCAGATCCAGCCCTCATAACAAATGAGTTTGACACCCCTGCTGTAGTGTTTAACATCTCCAAATCTCTGTTCCCTGCTTGAAGGGGGGGGGGAAGCTTGACTATCCCATTGTCTAGACCTATTAGCATTTGTATGAATGTAGGCTGAGGTAAATCTGGAAAGCAATTGAACTGACTTCCCACCTTCCTGCTTGTTCTCTGCCCAGAGAGGGAGAAAAAAACTTTTAAAGCTCAGAGTGAAGGTTTTGCTTATTTCAAACCTCCAAAGGAAAACAAAATATATTTCTTCACAGCATTATATAGTCTGCCTGAGGAAAGTAAGCATTTCAAGGAGATAAATTTTCACTAATCCTGGGCTTCTTTTTGATATAACTTTTTTTTCTGTCACTGAAAATGGTCCTCAAAATTTCCAGAAATATTTGGGATTAACCAGAAAGATTGGGAGTCAGAGTTTGCAGGCTCCCACCGACTGCCCCCTCCAATTTTGCCTTTTTTTCTTTGTCTCCGGGGGGTTTCTACAGGCTTGCCGGGCTGCTTATGTGTGTTTACAGTTTCAAGACTCCCCCCCCCTTGCCAGAATTTCTGTGGGCAGAAAGGGTGTCTGTATGTGTGTATTTTTAACATGAAGCAGGCTTCTTGATCGTGCTGGGAGGTTTTACTGTTGTTTTCATCTATATCTGTCTGTCTGTCTATCTTATTTACCTACCTACCTGCCTACCTACTTCATTTATATCCCAATGGGGGCCCAAAGTGGCTTACAACATTCTCCAAATATGTAGATTGGCTGTGACCTTGGAAAAAGAGAAAGATGCCCACTCCTCTGCTCACTATTTTCCAGTCTTCTCAGAAGTTTTATGGCATTGTGCAGTTGGTAACTCCTTATGTGTACAATATCTTAGGCCTGCTAATATGTGGGAAATGCTGTCCATAGGAGAGGAACACTCAAAAGGCAATTGCTAGGGATGTGCATTTGCTACATTTTTTTAAAAAACTTCTCAATACTGTACTTCGTTCTCAGGTCAAAGGTATGATAAAAGTAACTGTACAGTTAGGTAGATGCCCTGGTTTATGATACAGAAGAGCTTCAAGAGCAAGAAGGTGCTGAATTTGAATTGATATGCAGATTAGACTCAGAATGGCTGTGGGAGAGTGTGGACACTCCCTTCATTGTGGTTAAGCGAAGATCTGATTTCAAACTGACCAGGGACATCTTGCTGCCCTGTGCCATCCCCCCTCCCTTTTTAGGTGTTTAAAGCCCCCCCCCCCAATCCCTGCTGAGCTGTGCTGTACCATTATAGTGCAGCTCAG